TGCATCATTCAAAGGCCCACAAAAATCAATACAAAATTGCCCTGCGCAAACTCTCACAACTTGAGATCTTTTTCTTTTCCTTTTTCGCTGACACATCTTCCGTTGGCATCAACAGCACTGTGGAAGCAACCGGTGATATCTTAAGTCGGCATAGATAGCTCTGTCACCGTAGAGTCGGTCGGTGTCTCGCAGTATCTTCCGTTGGCATCAACAGCACTGCGGCGAGAACGGTCGATTGCCTATCCAAGTCTCGGTCGAGAAGGGTTTTCGAATCCTTGTTGGTCGAGGTCATCTCATTAGCCTTCTCGGCGAGGTGAGGTGTTACAGTTATTACATTCGGCACATTGTAAGCCGAATTCGGTTCGTGAACTTTGTAAGAAATAGCAGCCTTGTCTTCAGGCTCGAGAACCCAAGAGGCCGAGACGCGTTCCTTTCTCGGCCGCAATCGCAAGACGCAGAAGTCAGTAGCGCGACCCAACGCAGCATCATCAAATTTACTCCTCGGCCGAGCCTCGGCCGACGAGTTGGCACGCCCCGCAATCACCGAAGGACGTAGTTAGCTTAGAATATATTCGGCCTGCGCGCCACGTAGGCTTGGTAGATTTTAGGGTCAACATTTTGGCACGCCCAGTGGGACCCAGTGCTAAAACTACGAAGTTCATATGATATATCAAGATGTCAATCCGGCTCCATTTAGCCGATTGCACGAGCTCCTTGAGCAATTGAAAAGAAACAATGAGAGAGAATAGAAACGCGCCTTGAGGAAGATAAAAGATCATGGGAAACGGTAAAAATTCTTCGTGGCGAAAGAGCCAGGCAAAAATCATTCGCCTACATGTTTGAGAATAGAAGCTCCTGTGTTATCCTACAAAAGCAATGGGTAAACGAAGATAGGGCTCGGTTTAATGCCTGGCTAGATGACGACCGTTTTCCTTACGTTTCTGATTACAGTTCAATTCCATTTGAAAAATGGTTAGGTCCAAAGGCCGGGGGGCAATTTTTTGCTCCGGCCACAATCAAAATTCGGCCTCAGAACATAGTCGAGACGGCCGAAGAAGAGTTTAGGCCACCTATTTTTTCGGTTGAGACTGAAAGTGTGGTAGGCCTAGAAGAAAATGTTCAAGTTTCTGAGCCCAAAATTGACTTGGAAAATGATTCGTCAGAGGAGTGTTCCAATGACGAACAAAACCAATACATGGTTTTAGACGCCGAAACTACACTAATTGATATGATTATTGGTGATAAGAAATCCCGTTCGGCTAAGTTATTTGAATTAAAAGCCGAAATTATGCTTGGGGGGCATAATAATTGTTCAACACATTCGGCGGCCGAGAATGAAAAATATTTCACCAAGTCAAAAATATTTTGGAAAAATTCTTTACTCGGCCTAGAGCGAAATCAATTTGAAAATTTTGATGCAAAAAGATCGCGGCTTGGAATAAAGCATCGTTGGCCTCCTCCTGAATATGGTTCGGCCACTTTTATTTCCATTTAGAAAAAAAAAAAATATTTTCTTAATCGTCTGGCTACGTAAGCCAATGCATCAGAAAATAAGGGGGCAATGATCCAAATATATATATTAGTTGGTCGAAGAAGCAATCCAGGCTTATATATATTAGTTGGCCGAGATGGCTGAGAGAAAAAATTTCGGCTTTAGCCTCGGCCTCGACTACTTTACAAAAGCCTCGGCCTCGGCCCCATTACAAAGCAAGACTTGGCCGAAACAGATATACATATATATAATATAAGCAGCTTTTGGCCGAATTAATGGGGTTTGGGTATCATGGACGACAGAGCAGCATGCAGGCCTCAATGGATGTATGGGTACAGATCAATTCATGCCATGCGGTCGACTAATATATATATATATATATATATATATATATATATATATAACCATACATACCGAGCTCGGCGGGGTGTATTGTTGCCGAGTAAGGTCTGTTTCTCTCGGCCTAGTTTTCTCGGTGGCCCAACCAAGTCATCCACCAATCATGAGATGGCCGAAGTGGTCTATTAAGGTGTTTGAAGTATATGCGTGGCAGCTGTATATCCATGCAATCACATAGTGGGGGAATCTAAAAAAAAAAAAAAGAAGAAATAGGCATGCTTTTTCAACATTATATATGCATGGCTTAGTGGGAAGTCTTATCAAAGATGCATGGTGGCAGAACACTCAGTTGAGATTCGATGTGTGTATATATATATATATATATGGTAGACTTGCTTTAGGATGCCACTACCGAGAAGTGAATAGAGCATTCATGATTGATGGCAGGCCGAGCTACCCGGAATCGGGGTTTTCTCGGCCAAAATTCTCTCGGCCCTTAAAGCAAGTTTTGAGTATTGCGACCGATTAGTGTGGGGTCGAAGTGATTGCAAGGTTTTATCTAAAGTTACTGAGCCTCGTAGAGAATTGTGGAAGCCGGGGAGACGACAGCGTTGGTAGGACAGAGGAGTATTATTGCTGAGGAAACAAAATTTCTTTTTCGACGGTATGACGAGGTTTACTGGCTACAAAATAATTAATTTCCTTAACCATTCGGCTTACGAGCCGAAGTTCAAGGAAACTGGGGCAATGTTTGGACCCAAATTTACACCATCGGCCCATGTAATCAAGGCCGTTGAGAAAACGTAGTTCTCAACCGTCGGATGGAAAAGTGGAGATAATTTTTATTGTTAAAGGATAATATTATGATTTTATCATAATATTTATCGTTTAAAAAATTATCTTGATATTTTCTTGTACAAGATGAGGTGCAAATTATATCTTCAAAGTGAGCAGTACAGTTCAATTTAATTTGGGGTTCTTGGGATTTAAACGTGTGGTAGATTAGAGCATTGGAGTATTTTATTGTTATTATCCATTTAAAAGTGGGTGATAAATGGTGGATAAATGTTGTTGAGCACGTAGCTCGGAATCGATCAAGATGGTTTGTTGAGATGCATGCATGATGCATGGATGGGATGAAATTATGAGATAAAATGAATTTAATATTCATTTAAAGGAAGCCTAGGAACGTAGGTCTTTTTGGTGATGTGATGATAAGGTAGGCTAGGTTTTTAATGCTTATTTCTTGGGTTGGTTCCGTAAAGATGGATGGAGGAAAGCAGGTGGTGAAGCCACGTCACCAAAGATCAAATCCTTTAAAGATCAAGGGAATTTGAAATAAGAGTCAGGCCGTGCCAAGCAAGTACATCAGGTTCTATAAATACAGAGGCAGTGCATCATTCAAAGGCCCACAAAAATCAATACAAAATTGCCCTGCGCAAACTCTCACAACTTGAGATCTTTTTCTTTTCCTTTTTCGCTGACACATCTTCCGTTGGCATCAACAGCACTGTGGAAGCAACCGGTGATATCTTAAGTCGGCATAGATAGCTCTGTCACCGTAGAGTCGGTCGGTCTCGCAGTATCTTCCGTTGGCATCAACAGCACTGCGGCGAGAACGGTCGATTGCCTATCCAAGTCTCGGTCGAGAAGGGTTTTCGAATCCTTGTTGGTCGAGGTCATCTCATTAGCCTTCTCGGCGAGGTGAGGTGTTACAGTTATTACATTCGGCACATTGTAAGCCGAATTCGGTTCGTGAACTTTGTAAGAAATAGCAGCCTTGTCTTCAGGCTCGAGAACCCAAGAGGCCGAGACGCGTTCCTTTCTCGGCCGCAATCGCAAGACGCAGAAGTCAGTAGCGTGACCCAACGCAGCATCATCAAATTTACTCCTCGGCCGAGCCTCGGCCGACGAGTTGGCACGCCCCGCAATCACCGAAGGACGTAGTTAGCTTAGAATATATTCGGCCTGCGCGCCACGTAGGCTTGGTAGATTTTAGGGTCAACAATATCTCAAAAGTTGTACTTTGATGTGTGTTAACTTTTCTTTTATAGAAATTTATTAAGGAAACTTGTGGATAATAACGTTAAGCATAATGTTATGTAAGTTATATATTTATTAAGGAAACTTGTGGATAATAACTTTAAGCATAATGTTAGGTAAGTTATATATTTAGATCATATTTTTTTAAATTTATATGATGTGATTGTTGATAATAAGATTTTAATTAAGTATTGATTAATGTGCAAATTTCATATTAATAACACATCACATTGTTTATAAATTTAGGCTATAAAATTAGTCCACCTGACATTATTATAACATTAAAATAAACTTATGGAAGAGATTAAAAAAAAAAAAAAACTAATGAAAAGGGCTTGAAAACTTTGAGTTTTAATGATAAGAACAAAATAAAGGGTAAAGTGAATAGTACCATGATTGACTTTTTAGTGTAAAAATGTGGTTTTTGGTTAAAGTGAACAGTACCGGGTGTTTTTCGTTAAAGTTGCCTAAAAAAAAAGCTAATGGTTGTTACAATGCACGTTTTATCTTTCAATCTTAGTTATTCAATTTTTTTTTTTGAACAAAAAAAAAAGTTCAATTTCGTGTCATTTAAAACTAGTTTTTTTATTATTTCATTTTGTTATGTTTTTTGTTTTATTTGATTAAAGCGATGATTGATACGAATAAGAACTAGAAATAAAATGGTAGGAGGAACTAGTGGAGATCATTCGTGATAAATTCGGATATGAGTTTATTGAATTTGCGGTCCGTCGCCCATCTCTATCTTCCAATTTTAGTTTTTCTTTTCTTTTTTCGTCAATATGCAAGCATCTGTCATTGTTTGTCCCCTTCAAAGTTTCGGACAAAACAAATATTAAAGGAATTTCTTTTGCGAGTCCGACTAATTTTCTGAATCCAAAGGGAGCGGAGAAAGGCGGAATCGGAGAAAAAGTCCGAACAAACAAAAAATATCAGCAGCAAAGTAACTGATTAACAGGTGACCGGGAAATAAAGATAAAAATAATGAAGGACAACCGGACAAGTCAAGAACTTGGCAGCTTCAATCATTTAAAAAAAGAAAAGAAAATAAAATTGGAAGCAATCTACATCCACACACACTCTCTGTCACTCTCTCTCACCGTTACAGTGGTCTTCTCTCTCTCCCTCTCTCTCTCTCTCTCACTGTTATAGTGGTAGTAGTAGGAACCATTTTTAAATGTTCATCTGTCCTTTAAATTAATACATGAAATTTTGGAAGTAGGGCATTTGTTGTACTGATTTGGTGGGTTTCTGTTCTGGTTGTGGGTGTGCTCCTGCTCCATTGTTTGACAATTGTCCGAGTTATCCGGAACCCAACTCAGTTTGGTAGTTAGAGAGTGAGTGAAGTGGCTGACGGATGTTGAAGGGTTGTTGGCCAACTGCTTCTTAAACCCATCTCTTTGTCCCTCTGTTTCTCTTCTGTCTTCTCTCCAGATTGCTGTGGAACCATCTCGATTGAGAAAATGAATCTGAGGAGCCATTCTGGATCTTAATCTGCAAATTATATCCGTAAAATATTGCAAAACTTGAGGCTGGATTTGTCTCTATACCAAAGATTCCGCCTAAGACCAGCCAGCTAGCCACCGAAGCCAGTCCTCACCCATCACCCATTTTTAGGATATTTATCCTGCTGCTCTGGAAGTACAGATTGCAGTGCGCACACTCTCTCTCTCTCTCTGTCTCTCTCACTCTCTGACCCCCTGAAGGACGAGGTAAGCATCAAGCATCTTAATTTGAAGTGCTTATGGGAGATGCAATTGCAGACCTATTTACCCTTTTGCAGTGAGGAGTGGCTACTTATGAGTGAGTTGGATCTAGGTCTTGTTTGAATGATTTTTCGAGTTTTCTGATGTGGCTACTTTTTCGTTTCAGGTAATTTTTGAGATTGGGGGTCTCATTCGTTCATTCGTTTAATCATAATTCGTTGGCGAAAAGATGAAGAAGGGAGCCGTGCTGGTGGCTATTGCTGCTACAATTGGTAACCTCCTGCAAGGATGGGATAATGCCACAATTGCCGGTACTTATCCGCTACAGATTTTCGATATCAGTATCTTTTCGAGTTTCAAACTAACCCATGTTTGAAGTGAATTTTAAGCATTTCCCAGTCACAGTTATTTTATATGGTTTGTTCATTTGAATCACAGTTTAGAGCCAATATATAGTTATTTCTTGCCTCTATGTTTCCAGGGGCTATTGTTTACATAACGAAAGAATTCGACTTGGGGAGTTCTTTGGAAGGCCTTGTTGTGGCCATGTCACTCATCGGAGCAACAATTATTACAACTTGCTCAGGAGCCATATCAGATTGGATTGGTCGGCGGCCAATGTTAATAGCATCCTCAGTCTTTTATTTTGTGAGTGTTGGTAATGGTGTGGTCACCCAATGTCTATGTACTATGTATAGCAAGGCTGTTAGATGGATTTGGAATCGGCCTAGCAGTTACTCTCATCCCACTCTATATATCTGAAACTGCCCCACCAGATATAAGGGGATCCTTGAATACTCTTCCGCAGTTCCTTGGTTCAGGCGGCCTGTTTCTGTCCTATTGTATGGTTTTTGGGATGTCACTGATGGACTCACCAAGCTGGAGATTGATGCTTGGGGTTCTTTCCATCCCCTCTTTGATCTACTTTGGGTTAACAGTGTTTTACTTGCCTGAATCTCCTCGATGGCTTGTGAGTAAGGGCAGGATGCTTGAGGCAAAGATTGTTCTCCAGCAGTTACGTGGCACTGAAGATGTTTCTGGTTTGTTCCATGCTATTGGCTTGCCATATTTTGTTTGTATGCATAGATCCGCTTCCAGATTGCTTAGAATCCATCTCTTGTTACAGTGGACCACTTCTTAATTAGTGTTGACTCATACATTGAATGGCGCTTGGTATTGCATACTAAAATTCATATCACAAATTCATGCAGCATTCACTGAAATTTAGTCTGATAAACCAGAGCGTTTAAAAGGCTGCATAATATCTTTATGTGTAAAAGATGCTCGGATATGCCTTCATTACTTCCTTTGGTTTCCCATTTAATGCTATTTTTATTTAGACAAATAGTTTTTCACATGTACAAAAATGGTTTAGACATTTTAGTTAATTTTTACTAATGCTCGTAGGAAACTGTATTACTTATGAAGAAATTATGTTCTCAGATGTTTTCTGTTTAGCATACCACAGCTCTCTGGTTGTTATATATAAACATAATAGAAAAACAAGTAGGAAGGTATGCACATGTTCACAAGAAGGTCCAATGGTTTCTTTCATTTTTTTTCTATTTTTTTTTTATCGAATCCAAACGCTTTCTTGAATAATGCGCAGATTGTTAGATGTTTGCTTCACATAAAAATCTGATTCGTCATCGCTGTTTCTACTTTTTGTTTTCACTTTCTTTGCCACGTATAGATTAATGCTCAGATTGTTATATGTGTGCTTCACCTCAATATTGTTTTTGTAAACCTGTTGATATTGTGCTAGGCTAGGAGTTCTAAGAGTGACAAGTACACTCAAATCTCAGATTAAGCATTTACATAACTGTCTGCATGCATAACCTGTTGATTTTGTGTAAATCTATGCCCCTTACCGTCAATATTGTCCACATTCATATCATAATTCATGCAGCATTCACTGAAATTTAGTTTGGTAAACCAGAGCGTGTAACAACAATGACAACAACAACAAAGCCTTATCCGACTATAAGGCTGCATAATATCTTTATGGGCAAAAGGCTGCATAATGTCTTTATGTGTAAAAGATTGCTCAGAGATGCCCTGATTACTTCCTTTGGTTTCCCATCTAGTGTTATTTTTTATTTAGGCAATTAGTTTTCAGCTGTATAAAAATGGTTTAGACATTTAATTAATTTTTACTAATGCTTGTAGGAAAATGTAGAAATTTTCGCAGATGTTTTCTGTTTAGCATACTGCAGTTCTGTGGTTGTTATATATAAACTTCAATAGAAAAAACGAGTATAGGAAGGTATGCAGATGTTTGCACAAGGTCCAAAGGTTTCTTTGATTTTGTTTTTTGTTTTTTCGATCGAATCCAAACATTGAATAATGCCGAGATTGTTATATGTTTGCTGCACATCAATATTGTTTTCGTAAACCTGTTGATATTGTGCTAGACTAGGAGTTTTAAGAGTGACAAGTACACTCTAATATAAGATTGAGCATTTATAGAAATGTCAAGCTTTTCTATTTGTGTAAATCTATGCCCCTTTATTGTAAATGTTGCTAACACATATGGTTTATAGGTGAACTGGCTTTGCTGGTCGAAGGTCTTGGAATTGGGGGTGAAACATCAATAGAAGAGTACATAATAGGCCCAGCTGATGAGCTTGGCGATAGTCAGGATCCAGCTGACAAAGATAAAATCAAGTTATATGGACCTGAAGAAGGCCTTTCCTGGGTTGCCAGACCTGTCACCGGACAGGGTTCTCTTATTAGTCTTGTTTCTCGCCAAGGAAGCATGGTAAACCAGGGCGTGCCTTTAATGGACCCTCTTGTCACTCTGTTTGGTAGTGTTCATGAAAATTTCCCAGAGACTGCAAGTACCCGAAGCATGCTTTTCCCTAATTTTGGCAGCATGTTCAGCACAGCAGATCGGCCTAAGACTGACCAATGGGATGAAGAGAGTTTGCACGGGGAAGGTGAGGGCTATGGATCTGATGGTGCTGGGGGAGACTCAGATGACAATTTGCATAGTCCATTGATTTCACGTCAGGCAACAAGTCTGGAAAAGGATTTAGTGCCCCCTGCTTCCCATGGCAGTGCTCTAAGCATGAGGCGGCACAGCAGTCTCATGCAAGGAACAGGGGAGACATCTGGCAGCACAGGCATCGGTGGCGGATGGCAGTTGGCATGGAAGTGGTCTGAGAGAGAAGGCGAGGATGGAAAGAAGGAAGGAGGATTTAAAAGGGTATATTTGCATCAGGAGGGAGGCCCAGGCTCCCGTCGTGGGTCCCTTGTGTCACTTCCTGGTGCTGATGTTCCTACAGAAGGTGAGTTTATCCAGGCTGCTGCTCTGGTTAGTCAGCCGGCTCTTTATTCGAAAGAGCTCATGGATAAGCATCCTGTTGGACCTGCAATGGTTCATCCAGCAGAAACAGCTTCAAAAGGACCAATATGGGCTGCTCTGCTTGAACCAGGAGTTAAGCATGCATTGTTAGTTGGAATGGGAATCCAGATTCTCCAGCAGGTAGTAAATCATTACAGATAATTCTGAAGTTTTTATCTCTATCTTTTTATAAACAATAATTCTAAATACATTCACGGTTAAAGTATCTCCCTTTTTGGGCAATTAGTTAAGTTAATCTCTTCTTTCAGTAGGTAATTAACCTCAATTTGTAATCTTCACTGGGTTAAGGCTAATGACTGAAGTGTTAAATAATTGTGCAGTTTTCTGGCATAAATGGGGTTCTCTACTACACTCCTCAAATTCTTGAAGAGGCAGGCGTTGAAGTACTTCTTTCAGACTTGGGTCTCAGTTCAACGTCTTCATCCTTCCTTATAAGTGCATTCACAACATTGTTGATGCTTCCTTGTATAGCTTTGGCCATAAAGCTCATGGATATCACTGGTCGAAGGTGATTTATTCTTCTCTACTTTTATTTGTTTTTATAATCTGAGCTCAAACTCTTCGGTTAGGGGCTCACATTCAAGGTCATATCTTTAGCTACATCACTTATTAATTGGAATAACTGACAAGGAACATGTGTAGAGTTCAAATCTTAACTGGTGCATTCCATGTTGCAGGATGCTGCTGCTGACTACGATTCCAGTGTTGATAGTAGCACTCATCATTCTCGTGGTTACCAACCTTTTGACCTTGGGTTCAGTTCTTCATGCAGTACTATCAACCACTTGTGTTATCGTCTATTTCTGCGTCTTTGTCATGGCGTATGGGCCAATTCCAAATATCCTGTGCTCCGAAATATTTCCCACAAGGGTGCGTGGCCTGTGCATTGCCATCTGCGCCTTGGTGTACTGGATTGGGGACATCATCGTCACTTACTCGCTACCTGTGATGCTTGATTCAATGGGCCTATCCGGTGCCTTTGGGATTTACGCAGCGGTTTGTGTCATTTCTTTTGTATTCATCTTCTTGAAGGTTCCGGAAACCAAAGGCATGCCCCTCGAAGTCATCACCGAGTTCTTTTCTGTTGGTGCAAGACAAGTTGCGGCTGCCAAAAACGAGTAATTGCAAACTCGTGCAGTGTTACTGTGGACGTCCATCTTGTCAATTGCAGTGCATTTGAATATTCAAGCAGGTTTACTCTTCAATTTTGATGCGTGTATGATAAAGTAGCTCGAGTATTTAGGATTGGAGATTATAGAGTAAGAAAGCTTAGCTGACTGGGTTGAGTCCTTTGACTCTTCAATTTTCATGTCCTTATTTAAATAAACCATATTCAAGAGCCAAATGTAGTACTGGATTTGCCGAGTGTTTTTATATGGGGAGTCAGATATCTGGCGGGAATAGGGGAAGGGGGGGTCTGGAGATTCTTAGGCAGCCACTTCAGTCTCCAGTGCAACCTATGTCTTAATATGGAATAAATTAAATAGTGACCTTTAAAATCTTGTCAAACCTACTAGGCCATCTCCAAGGGAGTGCTAAAGGCCTCATTTGATTATCATGAAGAAAATATACCTCTACTAGTCCGCACAAAAATGATAAGAAAAGGGACGACTTTTCTTCGTGAGTAATCTTTAATTTGGAAAAAATCGGGAGTTGTCATTCATTTCTTCCTTTAAAATGTCTTTAATATAGTGAATAGTCTTATCCAAGCTAATCCTCTCTATGAAACGAGGCCAAGGGGTTCAATATGTAGTGTAGAATTATCTTCCCTCTAAATCTCATCCCCTCCAATCCCCTCCTCACTCACTTTTTTTTTTCCTCCTGTTTTTCTCTTTATAAAAAAGTCAACATTAGATATTAACATGACTTAATCGTGATTCGTGACCGTTCAAATAGAAAAGAACTGAAAAAGAAGAGAATTTGGAGAGAAGAGAATCCGTTCAATATTAGCCAATTTTCCAATAGTGTGCCAAACATAATCTCTCAAAAGAGTCTCGAGATGTCACTTAGTACTATGGTCTAATGGTATTCATCTTTATTTGTAAGTGAAATGTTTTAGGTTCAATTTTCCCAAAAGATGAATTTAAATCAAATTGTTGCTAGCATATTGTGAGATTAAACTCACTCCCTCCTTCTTAAATTAGATAATATCTTTTGTTTAAAAAAAATATTGAGCAAAAAGTGCCCCAAGGGGCTGCCCAAAATTGTATGGCTCGTCACTGTGCAGTGGTCACCAGATGAAAAGTTGTATGGGTAGTGGGTAACTATGAGTCAGTGTGTTAGTGTGGCACACTGCATCAGTTATCACACATGTGCATAAATTTTTCATTCCCCAGATTTTCTGCGTTTGAATTTGCGGCCATGAGGGTGCCACCCCCCACTGGGATTGTTGTAGATGATCATGAGCCCACAAGGTTGTTGCAGTGGACACCAGTTATGTATTCGTGCGTAGTCTAGCATCGTCTTCCTTTATCTTCTTTCATCATTTGGCGACCCGCTCCACCCATTCAGTTTCGTGTTGAAACTTGACCTCGAGCGGTCATCCATTGCAGAATTAGTTGACAAATTATTGGAGATGAGAGAAATTGCTGAGGAATGTATCAGATGGAATTTGTGAATGATATATGGAACTCAATGCACACTATTTGTTGATATGTGAAGTTGAAGATAAGAGGTGTCACGTTAATAAAATTTTAGTTAGAAATTTAGATATTTGCTCATAAATTGAGACACGTAACTCAATTTGAAAAATGATTAAAGGACAAAATTGTCACATCGACAAGAATTTAATCAGAAATCTTGAAAGTTGCTCACGAATTGATACGTGTAACTTGAAATCATATCTGATTAATAATTAATATTTAATTCTGATAAGATGTCGTGTGAGCTAAAATCTTATGCGAAATCTTGCTAATTTCGACAAAAAAAAAAGAAAACTAATGAAAAAGACTTGAAAACTTTGAGTTTTAATGATAATGACAAAATAAAGGGTAAAGTGAATAGTACCAGGATTGACTTTTTAGTGTAAAAATGTGGTTTTTCGTTAAAGTGAACAGTATCAGGTGCTTTTCGTTAAACTTCCCAAAAAAAAATCTTGCTAAATGGCTCTCAATTCTACACGTGTCATATCTGAAATCATATGTTGAGTGTATGAGTAATACATAATAATAGTTTAATTATTTTAAATAAGGGAGTTTTAACAAAAACATTTCCGGTACTGTTCACTTTTAACGAAAAATCACATTTTTACCTTTAACTGTCATCATTCACTATACCTTTAAAAATGGTTTTTTGTTAAAAGAGAAGTTTTTTTGGACTTTTCATTATTTTTCCTTAATTGAATCATGTGAATAATACATAATAGTAGAATGTATAAGCGTTATACCATAGTTTTTCTCAATATACTAAAAATCAATAAATATTGAAAAGACTAAAATATAGCTCCTACATAATTGGAAATGAAATTATAATCCGGCACTTATTCTTTAAAATATATATATATTTTGATGAAGTAAAATGAAAAAGAGCTCGAGGCTATATTTAGCTTGGCACTGCTGGAGACGTAAAGATTTAAGATAATTTTTATGAAAAATGATTTTGGTTAAGTTTATTTTAATAAAAAACAATGTTATAATTTTATTTAATAAAAAAGACTTAAATTTTAATAAAAATAACAAAAAAACTTAAAACTTAATGAAAAATACATAATTTTAATATTAAAAAAAATTAAAATAAAAAAAAACTGACTCGCACGAACTGTTTATGAAACTTATGAGATTGTTTATGAAACTTAACGGTACTACACTATTTATTAAACTTAATACACTGTTTATGAAACTTAACGGTTCTACACTGTTCATGAAATTTAACGGTACTATGAAGATTAATTATATATGTAGTTATATAATAATATATATGTGTAAAAACAATAGAAAATTCCTAATCCTCCTTTTGCGTATGTAATCTACAAGGGACGAATGTGACTAAATTCTTGCACAAGCAGTCTAAATACAGATGCGAAGAAAATATTGAAATATATAAAATTGTTAGAAAGAAAGAGGAGAGGCGTTGTCAAGATAATTTGAAAAATCATATTGTTAATCATGAGATATTGCCTGAACAACATCCTCAAAATATTTTCCGAGACTTGGATGAAGTTGTGAAAAAATTGGTATATTTTTAATAGGAGTGGTTCAGTTCATCATGTTCCCCAGCAGAGAATGTTAATCATTATTTTTAAAATGCTTTTGCCTTGGACCATTTCAGAACACCCGAAGATGGAACTGATAAAACATTACGGGGGCGTTTGTTTGGCCTCACTAAGTGGGACTGGACTAGACTGGATTAAGTATTTAGTGAGTCCCATGTTTGGTAGGTAGAGGGACTGAGTTTAATGGGATAAACCCGGACTCGCTCAGACAAAGTCCTTCGCTAAGCGTTCTTAGCGAGGACCCCCAATTTTCACGGTACTACTAAGCCCAGCGAGAGGGAAATTCGTCGCTCGTCTGCGAGAGAAGACATCCTACTCCTTCACCCTCGTCCTCCTCGCCCTCCTCTGCGTCCTGCTTGCCGTCCTCTGCTCCTTGTCAGGTAAATTTCGAATCTGACGATTTTCTTCTTCGATTTTCTTTTGCTGATCGTGAACGAAACGACTTCGATTTTGTCTGGTAAATTATTACTGGGTTATGAACGACTTCGTTGTTTTGGTTTGAAAACTTTTCAATAACTGATCTGGGCAGTTGAAAATAAATTAGGATTTTCATTTTTAGGTTCAACTTGATATTAAAATTTGGGCTTTTACTGGAGTGGATTTGATATATATATATGAATTTCATCATAATTTGTTCTGCCATCGTTGAATTTCATCTAATAATTGATATGTGTATATAGTCTATGATTGTATGTGTCTGTATGTATGTATGTACTGTGTGTGTGTGGGTGTGTCCTTCCATATGGGTATGCTGATTTTGGGTGTGTGTGTGTCCTGGAATATTCAGCATATTCAAATCCTTGCAATTAGACCGGAGTTCATTGTTCTGATTTCAAGGTGACTTCTATAATAAATCTCAATGGACTTAATTTGTCTGGCACTTTGTCTCCAAGCATTTGTAATCTTCCCTACTTAACTGAATTCAATGTGTCCAAGAACTTCTTCTCTGTTCCTTTCCATAGTGAGCGAAGAAGGTGGGTTTAACTAAAACGAATCATGCTCTGAAAAATATCTCGTTTATCTACTGTAAGTTGGAACTAAGGTCTTGCTTCAATTTCCTGCATCTAATGGCTCATGTTCATGGGTTGTTTGTCTTCTTGATTGATAAATCATATTGCAATATATGTGTGAAGCCCATGAATAATGGGGCTTAATTGTAGGAAATAATCTTACCATTGCATCGTGATCCTGTTTTGATCTGGGTTCAGATTTTCGTTTGGGAGATGCATCCTTATCTTTCTTTGTTTGAGTATTCGTCTACTGTGATCATTGGAGTTTGTATGTATAAATGAAGGAGCTCCATGGCAAAAATGAATAGAAATAGAGCAACCTCAAAAGCTGTAAATTGATTGCTCAAAGGCTAATTTTTTTGTTAATTAGTTAGATATCCAGTACAAACAGAAAATAGAATGAGCGACTTGTTTCTTTTTCGACTTGTGATAGCTACATATTCGAATGCCTGTATCGTTGGATTATGATTCAAATATCTTTGTTCAACCCCTACTTCTTGATTCAACAGATTAAAAAGACCAAATAAAAAAAAAAACTATAATCCTTAATTCAAACTAAGCATACGAGTATTCTTGTTTGATCTCTAATCCTTGTTTCCATTTGTTTTTACTTGATTTTTTGTACTTCTATTTATTCAGTACGATTGGTGGTTGTGATCTTTTAGGCATGGAATTAATACACAGAAGGCAAGTCCATTGAATGCTCGAGACATCAGTAGGAGACTCCAGTAATCCACATGAAGTTTTGCGGTCAATCCATGTGGGTCTTTTATGCGTGTGCGTGCAGCGAAATCCGGCAGATAGGCCAAGCATGCCAGCTGCAGTTCTGATGTTGAGTGGTGAAAGTGGATTGCTTGAACCTGAAAAACCTGGTTTTTACAATGAAAGGGATCTAGATGACAACAAAGTCGATCCTTGTGTAAACAAGGTTACAGCTTTTTCAGCTAATGAAAACACTTTTACCTTACTCGAGACTCGATAGTTGATATTTCATGTTGCAGTTTATTTCATCATAACTTAATCTGATGTCTACTGAAGTGAGTCAAGTCAATCAAATATTTCTTGAGTAACCTGCTTATACATTTTCTTGCTTTACATATACTTTGATATCAGCGGTGACTCGATTGAAGAGGAATTCAATTTGATTATATGATACATTTGAATTTCTGTGATTTGGATTCAACAGATTGTTCACTGTATTTTCTAATATTTGCTGCAGTATGGGATGTACTAATGGCTTTTTTCTTTTCGGTACAACTTAATTAAACACGGTTAAAAAAAACACCAACATGAAAGGTAATAAGGCAAACGACAAAGCAAACAAAGTTGCAAAACACAACCAAAAAAAGCAAACAAAGCTTTAACTTTAATCTACAACTTTAAACCAAAGGTGAATAATTAAGAAAAGCATTCTGAACCCTATCAATTGTTGAGAGAATACTTTTTTAAATTGATGTTTGGAACAATGCTACTCTTGAATCATGTATATTTCTTTCGTTGGCAAAAAAATTTGGTTTTTGTATTTTTATTGAGTCTCACTCTCATCCAATATTATTAATTTAAATAATATCTTTAATATAAAAAAAAAGCAATTAAAATAGAACAATAATGTAGTCGTAGTCTGAGCAAACACCAAACTAGTGAACAGTACTGTTTTCATTATCTTGCTTCTTAGTCCGACACTGCACCAAACACTTCACTAAATTAGTCCAGCTTAGTCTAGTCTAAGCCAGTCCAGCTTAGTCCCTGCAGCTAGTCCAGTCCGAGACAGTCTGGTGCAACAAACGCACCCACGTATCTTTGTAGTACAAGACGGCAGGTTATCAATTTCGTAGTCGGGATCAACGACATAAACGTGATGGCCGGGGCCATTTTAAAAGTAAATGTATTGTCGTTTTTCTAGATCTAAATGTTAGGATATTGCCAGATGGCATATTAGGATGATGACATCTATACAGGGTTGTTAGTAGTTAGTTACTCGTTAACAGATAAATAGCAGATTGTAAAGATAGAAAGGCGGTTAATGAAATTGTATTGTTGTTCTCCTGTTCTGTTACCTATCTCTCTGTGCAAACCTTTTGAGAAGTGGAAATGAGAGATTGAAATGTTGAGGATCTTTGAAACTTTTACCAGCAAGCAATTATCTGAGTCGTATAGATGGACTCTACTTATAATCAATGATTTTGATAGAGAATTTGGCCGGAATTGGAGGACAAAGGAGATGAGGAATAATGAGGCGATGATGAAGTATTGCACGCGCTTTACTTAGGTTTTTTTTTTTTTTTTTTAATTATTTTGTCCTTATCATTAAATAAAGTTATAAGATGACTTTTGATTAAAAACTCATAAGTTTAGAAGTCATTTTCATTAGTTTTCCTAAGATTAGATTTTTAATCATGCGGCCAACTGAAAAAATTTCAGTCGAATCAGAGAGTAGTTAAATCATAGCCGCTATCCCAGTGAAATTCTGATGCCTTTCTCCACCCAATGGTCTTTTTTTTTTATTGAATCCCAGCTTTAAATGATTCCACAATCTAATATTTAATCTAACAAATTTATTGTTTGACCAAAAAAATAAAAAAAAACGATTCAATAATTGCTCAATACACCAAATTAATGCTTTATATAATTAGCTAGCTCGCGGCATGTGCATATTTTCAAGAAACTCGACCTTTATCTGGTCATCAAAACCTTCCCCTTTGATCTTCTCGTAGCTCCTTCTCATCCAAAGCATGTCAAAATGGCAAAGCAAATCGTTCTAGGGCCGGCAAGGCCATCATTATATCGAAGTCAAAACAACAATAAACATGTGGATGATTCAGTTTCACCATCAGTAAATTTAAATTTAAACACATAAGATAAATTTAAACACGAGAACAGTAAGAGATGAAACTACAACACCGTTCAATATACATTTCATCCTTTACTTTAAAACCGGTATCTGAACTGGCTACATCATATCCCAAAACTTGAAATTCTCAATTAATATCTAGACCTGCTAATTACACACAACTCAGAATTCAAGCTTGTGTAGCAATTTGACAGACGACAAATACAAACACAAGCCAAGATCATATTCAGTCATGCATTTCCTCATAAGGTGGCACACTGCGAGATGAATTTGGGGCACGTTCTGATAATGGTGGATTGAAGTTACCTGATTGCTTATTGATGCGGCTTTCTTCTCCACGGTCAGGTGACTTTGGACCTGACTTGAATGCATTCGTAAAATCACTATCATCGCTAGAGTCATTCACTAACCTGTTCAACTTTTGCTCCTACGAAATGAAAATCCAGAAATTGTCAAGATGAATTATTGCAATATTAGTCGAAGCAATGGAAATTCCTTTCCCCTTGTGCCGAAAACTGTGATGATGAATTACAGATACTTACCCTCTGCAGTGCTTCATGCTCAGCTTGAATTCGAAATGGAACACCGTGTTTTTGATACACATTGTTTTGTGCCAAGTCTTCGTCAATGTCACCAACAGTGGTTGCAAAAGGATGATTGGCAGGAATCCACCTAACCGTATCAGGGTCAACATCCGGCGGTATTGAATCCCCTTCCTTTAGGAAAATTGTAGGTCTCTTCCACTGGTAAGCGCGCGACCTCCTTTTCTGATGGACAACTTGCTGCTCTTTTGTAAGGGTAACTGGGGCTAGGCGGTAAACCTTTCCGCACATCTCTACAGTTGAATTTCCTTTACCAAGCTTGACCAGTGGATTATTGAATGGGTCATCATACTTGAGAGGCGTTGAACTGTGAAATAAACGATCGGAATTTAAGTCTTCACAGTTATCGTCTCATCAAAGATTATTATACAAAGACCATGAGAAAACAAGTGTGATAAGGATTGAAACCATACATGCCTCTTCTATCAGACCTAAGCTGGCCGCGTCTAACAAGATCAGCGACAGAGCCAGGGCGGTCGTACTTAGATTTCCTAACCACAAACACTCTCACAGCAATGACCACAAATGCAGTTGCTATACACAACCAATTGCCAAATCGAATCCCTCTCGTTGTCGCATCTGATCATTATCCCGAAAAGAAAGCATATTACAGTTAAACCAGTCGCAATGCATAGACCGCAAGCCAATGTACACGTTGTACAGACACTGAAACAAAAACCCAGCAAGAAAAAAACATTCCCGTAAGAGAAACCCTAATATTAGTAATGAAAATGTTACCGAAAAGACCAATGGGGTGACGGAGCTGATCATTCCCGGCAATTTTCCGATTGAGTCTTTGAGATTTGTTATGGTAATTTTGTTCTCAGTCTTCGCTACCTCACCATTAGGAGATGTGTGGTCGTCACCAGCAGAACCAACCGAGCCGTCAATGGCTCTCAGTGGAAACCTCTCACTGGATTTCAGTCGCCGAACCCGGCCGAATTCGGGTCTAAGTTTCAGTAGGAGTGAAGGGGTCCGATGGTTTGAGCTTGAGCCCCAAATCGAGGGCTATGATTCGGAATTCAAAGCCAAAATTAAAACGGTGAGAAATTGAAACAAATAATTTTGTGAAATTTGGTATCGTGATTGCAAAAAGCGCCATGTATGACAGGAGATGAAAGCGCGTTCAGAAACATACCTGGAAGGATAGCAACTGGAATTGGAGAGAAGAAATGGAAGCCATTACATTAGAGGATGACTGGGTCTAGTGCTTCAGTATCATATCTGAGAATGAATTAGAGCAATTTATTTTAATTTTTGCTAAATTAGCTAGTAAATAGTGTAAAAAAACACGAAGAAGATATTTTAGCTAAGTATTTAATTACGAGTTTAAAAAATTTAAACGACTTTACAGATATTATTCAACTCATACAGCTCTATATCCATTCAATTATGATTGAATTTTAAGACATTTTTAAAAAAGAAAAACTTCAATTAGAGAGATTTTATAATGTTTTTTAAACGTTAGAAAATTACGCCCCAACTCCTAGTAATTTTACCTAAAGTTCACATAAAATGTATGAAACTTCAGTAAACTTTATGGATTTATAAATCTTTCATAGTCTTTCAAAATCTTAAAACATCTTCATCGTCGAAATACTGAGATTTTAACCGATATAAATCTTTCAAAATTTTAAAACATCTCCATCATCGAAATATTGAGATTTAACCGAATAATTTTTAGGTATTAACTAATTTTTATTCTCAAAAAAAATAAATTTATTAAAGGAAAAAAAAATCTAGGGCCACGAATAAATACTTAATCAAATCACTTAATTTTAAATAAATCAGTTAGCTTTAATTATAAAGATTCACCAAAAGCACCTTTTGCCCTTCTAAGACCTCCCAAATGAATTTTTATCTTAAGATAAATAAAGAATATTAGTGAATTTTTATCTTAACAGTGGAGTTGATTTTTTTAATTCTTTCTAAATTATAATTAAAAACTCATTTAGAGAGTCTATTAGAGATTTAAAAATGGAGTAAAGTTACCAAAATAACACAGGGCGGCCAGTAGTTTGAGATAAATTTTAGAGGAAATGGGAGGAATGGTCCCTGAACTATGCTCGAATTGTAGATTTGGTCCCTAAACTAAAAAATCATTAGATTTGGTCCCTGAACTTAACAAAATATATAGCATTGGTCCCTCTATACTAACACCGTGAGATTTTCCGTTAGTTTGATGACGTGGTCTTTGTGGGCTCCATATTTTTGTTCCCTAAATGCCATGTGGCTTAAAAATTCAAAATAAAAATAAATACAAACATAGAAAAAGAAAAAAAAATAAAAAAAGTAAAAGTTATCTCTCTCTCTCCCGTCTTCCCTTCTGCCTTGCTGCGACGACGAACTGCGACGGAGAGGGAGGTCGCATCGATCGAGCACGCCTTGAGGGAGAAGGAGAGGAGGAAGGCACGGATCATGGCTGGGTCGGAGGCGTCGAGTCAGAGCGCGGATCATGGCTAGGTGGTGAACAGCGAGGTGCTCCCGGGAAGGAGAGAGAGAGAGAGCGAAGAGGATGGCGGCGAGGGAGACCAAGAAGTCCGACGCCATGGTTTCTTGGAGCTTTCTGGAATTTGGAGGAGACGGCGCTCGGCGGTGGTGAAGTCGGCGAGGGAGTTTGGCGCCCAGATCAAATGGCATGATTGTCGCCGTGGTGATCACCCAGAGACGGCGCTCGGCGGTGGTGAGGTCGGCGACATTCCATGGAGAAGCAAAGTTGAAGCAGGGTGCTTGCTGAGATCGACGATCGGAGATGGGAGGCTCGGGCCGTCGACGGCGACGGAGTACGGAGCTTCTGATTTTGAACTGGATCGCCATGGCAGAGAAGTCGAGTCGACTGGGAAGCTTCTGAGGTGGCAGCGATTGAATCTTGGAAGTGTGGACATCGTGGCTACTTACGGGGATTTGGAGGAGTAAGAGCACCGGTGGGAGAGAAAGGGAAAGACTTTGGGGATTTTGCGCAGTCGAAGTTGGTGTCGACGCCGAGGTTGGTGAGGCGCCGGATTTCCTGGGCGTTGCGGTCCAAGCAATGAAAGGGAGAGAGAGAGAGATAACTTTTACTTTTTTTTATTTTTTTTTCTTTTTCTATGTTTGTATTTATTTTTATTTTGAATTTTTAAGCCACATGGCATTTAGTAAACAAAAATATGGAGCCCACAAAGACCACGTCATCAAACTAACGGAAAATCTCACGGTGTTAGTATAGAGGGACCAATGCTATACATTTTGTTAAGTTCAGGGACCAAATCTAATGATTTTTTAGTTTAGGGACCAAATCTACAATTCGAGCATAGTTCAGGGACCATTCCTCCCATTTCCTCTAAATTTTAAGCTTGTATTGGGAAGAAGATCCTCTCCTGAGCTCAGGATGGGGGTCATTCTGATCACGAAATTCGGACTGTTCAAATTTAATTCAACAATTCAAAACAGGAAGTCCTCTAAAAGTTATAATAATTACAATCGTTAGATTAAATTTGAACAGTCAGAATTTCTTGATCAGGACGATTCTCATCCTGAACTCAGAAGAGGATCTTCTTCCCTTGTATTGTACATGGTACGATGATAGTTAATAGAGGAAGAAATGTCCCAATGAATCTTCTTGACCCCTCAAAAAGTTGGACTGCTTTGGTAAGTCTCCCCAACTAATTTTTTTCTTCTTCTTTCTTTTAAACAAACGATATTATCTAAAAAGAATTTTAATGTGATTCAAATTTGTGTTTTGGAAATTATGTTTTGGGAAATTGACAGTAATTCTCCGAAAAATTACCGCGAAGCAAAGTTTAGCATACAAGGATTTTTGTATGTTTACCACCACCGTCGCTGACGCTGTCTCCTTCTCCCTCAGATTCAGAGTCATAATTCTACTTCCTTGAGATTCAAAATCAAACCTTGAGAAGCCTAGAGGGCCCAAAAGCCATGGCAGTTACTTATGCTGCTCCTTCCTCACTTATGCATTTGCTATAAACCCTAATCCCAATTTCCTCCTCTCCCACTCAAATTAATTGTTTCTCCCTCAAAATTCAAACCCTTCTGAATTTCCTTCTCCGCTACACGAACTTATGGGCACAGGTATCTCCCATAAACCCTAATTATTCGTTGCTTTTTCTTCATACGCTTTTGCTTTTGCTTCTTCGCATTTAGATGCTATAATTTGGTAATGTATTGTGATGATTTTCGAAGCAAAATTAGTGGTTCTATTTGCATTAATCATTTGCTTACTCTTGCTTTAATTTGTTTATAAACATTTTCTAATTTGGTTGATGAATTCCAGCTCGTAGTTTGACGGAGGAAGAGAGAAAGAGGGGCAGAGAAATTACTTGGGATGATAAGGAAGTCTGCGGGCACTATTTGGTTCGGTTTTGTCCGTTCCATCTCTTCGCCAATACTCGAAGCGATCTAGGTGCATTGCTTTTAAATTTTTGCACCTGTTCAAACTATTTAGTTGCTGAGAAAGAGCAAGCAAGAAATGTCTGAATTGGGATTCGATTCCCGAATCATTTGCTTTTCGGATTTTTGGAGAGTATAACACATCACTGACACCAAATCTTTTGTTTATCAGGACAGTGCCCTAAAATCCATGACCCGAAGTTGAAGGAAAGGTGACTAACTGGACATTTTATTTAGATTAGGATTTTCTTGTGGGAAGTGTTTCTTGAGGTGTCATATTACCCTTTTTTTATACATCTAGATCGAATGCAATTAAAGGAATTATCTTTTCTTCTTTCATGTTAAGTTAATTGGTTGTACTGGATTTGCTACAAAATATCCATTTTATGCATACTGATTCATACGTGTGGAGTAAAACTTCAAAATACTTCAACCAATTGCATGTCGCAATACCTTCAATGTCGCTCCAATGTATGCATACTTAGCAGGTTCATACATGTTTGTACAATTGCTTTCATCAAGCGTTTATAAGAGTATCTAGACTGTTTGTTGAAACCAGAAGTTTAGTTTTCAAAATCAGATGATAACCTGAGGTCATTAAATACGCTTTCTTCCATTTCATCAGAAATTTACAAACTTACTGACTGCCTTTTCATCATAAATCCATCAGCTGCTGCCTTTTATTTTCCTTCAAGGACCCCCTTTTTCTACCTGCTATTGGACTGATTATTTTCTCCCTTTTAGTTTTGAGTGTTACTTTTTATTTTCTTATTATAGTTTTGAGAAGTCACCACAGCATGATGCATACGTGCCCAAGTTTGAAGCCGAACTTGCTCAGTTTTGTGAGATGTTGGTAAGTTGCACTTCTTTCCATTGGGTGATGATCAGGAATTATTCACCTATATTTATGCTCAATGAAAATAAAAATATTCACCTGTATTTCTTTGTCATATCGCAGGTGATGGATTTGGATAGAAGAGTAAGACGTGAGCGAGAACACCGTCACCAAGAGGTGGAACCTGCACTACCACATCCACTTTCAATTGAAAAGTCCAAACATTTGTTTATTTTGGAGGATAAGTTAAAGAAGTTGCTTGAACAAGTGGAGGCCCTTGGTGAATCCAGCAAGATGGATGAAGCTGAAGTGTCCGTGAGAGAGGTGTCGCTATTCTTGCCTGATGTATATGTTATAATGTTAAGCATTTGTTTCCAAGTTTTGGGGGAAAAAAAAAAAAAGAATAAAAAATGGTGTGGACTAACAAATATTTTAATCCTATAACAGATGTCCAATAAAATTGTTGTGGAGAATCCTCAAGTTGGTCAGGGCCGTCAGGCTCAGGGTGGTTCAAGTGCCCCTACTCTTTTTGGTAATATCCAAACAAACTGGTCCAGTGTTATACTCCAGCAGATCTCAGTCTACGGTATAGCTGCTGGTTACTGCTTATCTGCCTCATTGCTTTCCATTATCAACAAGTGGGCTGTCGTGAAATTTCCTTATCCCGGGGCCCTAACTGCTTTACAGTATTTTACAAGTGCTATGGGGGTCCTTGTATGTGGCTGGCTTAAGTTGCTAGAACATGATTCGCTTGACCTTCTTACTATGTGGCGCTTCCTACCAGCAGCAGTTATATTCTACCTCTCTCTCTTCACCAACAGTGAGCTCCTTCTTCATGCCAATGTCGACACTTTCATTGTCTTTCGTTCAGTTGTTCCAATCTTTGTTGCTATAGGAGAGACTCTCTTCTTACACCAGCCATGGCCATCAATTAGGACATGGGCCTCACTTGCCACAATTTTTGGGGGAAGTGTGATTTATGTGCTTACAGATTACCAGTTCACAGTCACGGCTTATAGTTGGGCTCTAGCTTACTTGGTAAGCATGTCCATAGATTTTGTCTACATAAAACATG